TATTTTTGTATATATAATTGTATTCATATTTCAGTTTTACTTTAGTTAGGCCAATATAATTTACCATTCATCCCCAGTCTCTTTTTCCCTTTAAAATGTTCATAATTGCTTTGTTTAGTCCAAACTTTAAGACATAATACTGCAGGAGGGTCTAAGGACAGTGATGATCCGGGACATGTATTAATATTTATGGACATTATTCATCTTGTTCTTATGTGTTTTCTCTTCTCTGTTGTTGGCAAATCATCAACTTTGTAAAGTCCTCCGAGACGACTACTGTTGTCATTTTTCTATACAAAAATAAATTGAATTGAATTGACTTTTTCGTCCGACAGCTCGCAAATTATGCAATCGCAACAGAAGTTGTGTTGTACGACCTCTTCTACCTTTGTTGCATCTTTTTGGAAAGTTGTTTTGATGAAGTGGCTGTCGCTGCGCTGCTTCTTCCCTCACGCCAACAATGTGACAGAAGTGGCTGTTGGCAAGTATAGAGTTTCTTGTAGAGCTGCGAGAAGGCCAGCTCCGCTCCGTGCCAATCACAATCAGTGAGAATGAGCCCCGACACAAACACGTCAACACGAGAGAAATTATAGGTTTTATTGAAAAGTGTATATCCGCTTGTATACGGTCAACACTGCGGTGCATAAAACAGCTTGGCTTTGTGATGCGGTGATATGCTGTGCTCGTTTCCTTTAATGTCAATCTTTGTTTTCTCTTTCAAAGCTCACTGACAAATCAAACCAAGTATCAAAGACGTAAAAACCATAAGTAAAATAAAAGACTGCAATTATTTTAATCTTTTGCGAGCAACGAAATGTTCTGTTTTACAATGTTGTTCCCTCATCGATGTGTTGTTTCTGTTGCTGCTAAAGTCAGAAACTTCTTGCATAAACAGCTTTCATCCTAAAAGGCAAGGCGAATGTATTTGTATAGCAAAGTTCTTACACCAGGCAACTCAAACAAAACAAGAACTAAACATCAAAATCCTAAATATTAAAGGTTAAAGTACAAGTTTATATATACTACATATATTAGCGTGGTGTAATTTGGCCTCTGCATTTGATCCTGGAAAGTCTTGAGGGTGTACCTATTATTTTTAGTTGAAGGGGAAACTGGATCACCTGGAGGAATCCTACTCAGACACTGGAGAACATGCAGACTGCACTCAGAAAGGCCCCGTCTCTGACTTTCTTGCTGGGAAGTGAGAGTGCTAGCCAGCAGTGGCAGTGCATGCTAACCCCTGCCACCGCGCCACGATCCCAGTACATTAAATAGCCAGCACCCTAGACAAGGGGAGGGACTTGCAACTTCTACCCCGAGATTGCGTTGAATCATGAAACATTAAACTAATTATTTCACATTCTAAAGTATCATCACATGAGATATGCTCATAAATTCAGGGACAAATTAACATAGCGTTTGCAATTGCAATGCTTTAGTTCTACAAGACACATGATAGGTTAGTTCCAATAGCTATAGGGTGAGAGTTATATTTAAGTTACATAGAGGATGATCAAGAGCCAAAATGAACGCAAATAATGCATCGTATTTCCAACATCAAATGTGAAGAACACAGAAAATTCACCATTCTGTGTGGAGACAAAGATGTGCGGCAAAGATTTTGTCTCATCTCTTAAAAGATAAAACAAAAGTTGAAGAAAAAGCTGTTATACTCTTTCCCAATTCAATTACTCTCACTATAAATTGTGCTCATACCTAAGTATCTGCGTATATTGTTTCAAAAGGATGGAGAGCAGGCAAAAGTATTGACACATCTGATCTTGTTAGCGCTCTTCACGGCTGCGGGAGGAGACTCGAGGGTCCTCCAGGAGCTCGAGTACCGTCTCTGAAGTCCTCCGTTATTGAATCTGCATTTCCCTGAACCCAAACGAACACAAACCAGGCAGGCGGGCTCACATGCACCTCCACCGCGGGGGAGGCCCAGGCTGGACCACCCTGGGCTTGTCTGTTGTCACAGAGTCTCAAAACGGCTTTGGCTAATCTTCCTCGTTACTGTCTGCTGGATGGCGGCTAGAGAGCAGGGTGTGAAACTGCCAGGAAAGAGCTTTAAGGTCTGTTTGAGTGTTTGAGATCGGCGGTTCGTGTGTAAGTGGCTCAGGGCCCGCTCCACGACTGTTTTCGGCAAAGACCTTGTCATTTGGTTGCCACGGAGAAGGACCTGATGGTTTAAAGTCGATGTCTAAAACTCAGATAGTTTTAGGCCCTGTTTGCAACCGTGTGAAGAAAAAGGTGCAACCTCTCTGGCTGCGATGATTTCACATTTGGACTTACGCCATAACTGAGAACAAACAGAAATGCAAGTTTACCATTCGGCTGAAGGTCTTATTGCTATAACTTTACATACAGTATGTTACATGTTTGTGTTAGTTCTTAAGTACTTAAAGCTTATCTACAGAAAGTCATAATACTTAGACTTTAGCAATTCTTCTCAAGACACTCCTCTAACTTTTCTCAAGCTTTGGCATGATTTTGTCATTTCGAAAGACTATTTCAGGGTGTCTCACAGAAGCGTCAGACGAGCACAAAGGACATAATAATCTGAGGAGGTATTACATGCAGTACATGCCATTCTTTGTGCAGTTGATCCCCTGAACGGCCATGGCTTTAGCGAATCCCCATGGTGATAGACACATGACAGGCTCCACTCTCCTCTCCCGTGGCTTATCTGGACCAAGCACGTGTTTGGACAACTAAAAACCATTACACACACCCTCTCAGCTGTTTTAGCGCTCACCAAAGCCCCTTTCACCGCATTTGTCCTGTTCTGTTTTACCATGATGAACACTGGGCGGAAAATCTTTACTCCCTGCCGCTCGATGCTTGTGCAACTACTGTTCATTTAGGGTTCAGGAACAGTCCTGAGCGCACCATTAACCGCCGGAAAACCTAAAAGCGACCCTGTGCTCGATTGAGAGGAATGAAGGAATCCAAACTTGGCACTTAATGGCTTTTTGTACAAAGTGGCCCACTCATAAAAGCCACTCTCGTATTGCACTGGTTGGAGGTTGTTTCTGATATTTATATGTTTGTCTTCATGTCTTTGGTTAGTAGACTGCCGTGAAATTATTATGAATAGTTTTTCTTTAATGCGACTGTAGTGTTATCATAAGGGATCAAAGGTCTTCACCACTGATAGCAACACCAACCTGAATACTTTCTAACAACAACAAATGCAGTAAGTTGTCAAGGAACAACTTAACATTGGAGTAAATTCAATTCAATTCCATTTATTTTTGTATAGCCCTCGATCACAAGGATTTTTACAAAACGGCAGCACAGATCAGAGAATCAAACAGTTCAAACACATGAAATGCAATGATAAGTGAGTCCTGTCTCTGATGTGCTCCTGCTTGGTTGGAATGAAAAACTGCAGCCACACCGGTCCTTTCTGAAACCAGGTTGACGCCACGGATGAAGAGCTTTGCACAGATAGAAATGTGTATGCGTGAAGATTTTGCCCTTGTTTCCGGGAAATTTGTTGGATCAGATATTGCGCACCATGGTCTTTGGTCAAACGATATGGCTATGCCGAAGAGTCAAACGTAATCTCAAAGCTGCTTTTATTTATTAACCAATATTTACAAGCACATGGCTTATCCAAAGTGTTATTGCTGTAATTTACAGTCAATCCTGACAAAATCAGAAACACAAAAGACATAGTTCGGCATTTTTAATACTTGGTTGCCTTCCAAGGAGAAGTGATTTCCAAACCAGAGACAGAGCAGAAAGTGCTGCTCTCTCTTTGGTTCCAAAATCAAATCTCCCTCAGATCAGGCGGCAAACTCCTTTTAAAGTTCAAGACAACTTCAGATGCATACAGGACAGGAAGGGCCAACACAACAAAAGGACAATGAGACACATAAGCATCCTCAAAACCTGGCGTCTGCATACAACCCCCAAGCACTCTGAAGTCAACAGTGGATTACAATACAGACAGTATAGAATTCAGCCAGTGAGCCACATATGATTTAGCAAAATGATAACTAAAGTTGCATTTCAATATCACATCGTTATGAGCAGTATTTAAGATATGAATAAAGTAGTTAACTTTGAGATTATTTTGCCTTGACGTTTTTTTAACAAAGATCAAAATTTTGTGTCAGTTTTTAAAGGCACACCGCGGACTTTGTGACCTAAAGAGTTGACACATATGAGTTATTTTATATGAATACTTGGGCCAATATACAGCGCTTGACACTTGCAATGCTCCGAGCGGGGCTGCCCTCTTGAAATACCGCCCATGTAAGTTTCGAGCAGACGGACCGTCTGCCACCAGGTCACGTGACTTGGAAGAAAGACTTGCTTTACGGCTACAGGCGCTGATATACTCATGGAGCTAAGGCTTTTGCTACTCATTTTTCACCTGCTCGACTCCTGGTCATGGCTGAGGCAAGGAAAAATTTTAAACCTTCGGAGGAGGCTAAAAAGAGGAAACGCGAAAGGGATCGTGCTGTAAGCTGCATGTCTGTATGAGCGCTGCTCTTCACCTGGTTCCTGGATGTCATCGACTGCAAAGATGTCATTCCACGCAGCACGAGCTAGACGCAGAACTCCCTCATCCAGGATATAGAAGTCCATGTGTGGTAGATTACTAATGCAGCGGTCTGGAGGCTGACCACAGCAGAGTCTCTCAATATCTGTAGGCATGTCTCTACAGTTTGAACACACACACCAGTGCATGCTGTCTGAATACACACTCAAAAGACACCGGCTGACTGTTTGTTGACTTTTGCGACAGTGCTGAGTTGCTTGTGGCCACTAGGGGCGCTAAACGTGAAAGTTGCAGGTCTAGCGCCCCTAGTGGCCAAGAGTTACACGGTGTGCCTTTAAGTCCATCAAATCATACTTGTTTATGTGCACTGCCAAGACCTGTTCCAGTCCGTGTTCTGTGGCAAATGAAGTGAAATATCCCTGGAATATCCTGGTAAATAAGGACAGTATTTCAAAATCTTAAGTTGAATCTTATGTTTATTCTGCAGTTTTCAGGCGAGGTCCCGGAGAATCGCGTGGACGTGGTGGTGGCTAACCTGACGGTGATCGACGCAGACCAGCCGCACTCTCCCAACTGGAACGCCATCTACCGGATTATCAGTGGAGACCCCACCGGGCACTTCACCATACGCACTGACCCGGTGTCCAACGACGGCATGGTGACGGTGGTCAAGGTAAGGACAGCAGCAGTAAAGACCCTCCACTGGTCATGGGTCACTGGTTGCACTGGCCCATGCAATTCAAATGTGCTCCAGCAGCTTTCAAAGGTGGTTATACAGTATGTACATAGTAAAATATAAGTTAAAACAGAGGTACTCCGTTATTGAATACATACAAATATAATATGGTCTGTGGATATTAACTTTGTCTATTGTGACAAAAACATACACAAATATTGTCATGTTGCTTCATTTTTTAATGTATTTAATATTACAATAACGACAGTAGTACAAATATAATAACAACATTGGACAGACAAGATGCAATGCCTTTAGTGTTACAGTGAGACAATGCTAGTTTTCAATTAAAATGAATACAGAAACAATTAATGTGAACAACTTTGCTCCTATTTCAGCCACAGTTTCAGATGTCTGGTAAAGATCAGTAAAATCTTCATTTCTTCTCATAAAATGTTTCGAAAAAAACGTACACCTTTTATCAAGAGTCCGTTTTAATACTAGTTCATTATGAAATTCATTTAAAAACATGAAATTAAAATGTGTTTTAATTGCCTCTGTAATAATATATCTTGTTGAGGTAAAGCTAAAACAATACTAACATTCAAACCATGAATTAACATTATGCAATAAAATCCATCCATCTCATTCCTATCTCTCTGTTTGCCAGCATGAGTTTTCTTATACATGTATTTGTGGCTTCTGTCCCTTATTCAGAGTATCAGCCTTCACTCAGCCAAGCAGTGTGAATCTAATAAGATGAAGACAGCATGTTGTGGGCTCATTTGTTTCCACAATGTTACTTGGACAAGTTCCCCCAACTTTAAGATGTTTTTTAAAGCTTTGACTTGTCAAATATCATCTGCAGGGTTCTCCCCCCTTATTCTCCACCGCAAACTTGTATTGACCTGTTTGTTGAATTGTATTGTTTGTGATCAATAACGATTATGCAGATGGAGTCAGTGACAGTGAGTTGCAGACAGAAGCAAATCTAACAAACTTATTAGAATTGTTTTTTGCACGTGGTTTCTGCCTCCTAAGTATCCAAAGACTTTGAATCAGGACTGGACTCTATGTAAACAAAGTCTCAGCCAATGCATGCATGCGCTTACCCACACACACACATACAGTACATATACACACATACAAGATAAATGAATAAGTGATAGCGATGTTATTACCTTGACATGTGTGTTATAGAAGAAAAAAAATAACTTAATCTACTAAGAAAACAAGATGAAGCTTCCTAAACTAATAGAAAAGAAGCCGATTAATCAGATTAACTCAAGAAAACAACTGAAAATCCACCAGAAGCTGGTTAGAATTGGGTTCTGGGATGAAAAATCACAGAAAGCGATGATCTGCCAATAGAACGAGAGAATCTGCCTTAAAACATGTTAAAGTGACTTGAGACTTTGTTCAAGTTCAGTTAAAAACAACTTTAACTCAAAGAGCCTTTCACCGCTCTTGTCATTTCCTTCTTTTTTTCCTCAAATGAAAAACTTGAAAGAAAACTTAATAAACTCAGCGTTGTTGTGTCGAAGTTTAAGTTCCCACCTTGTACCATATTCAATCAATAGCGTTCATGTTGCTTTTGTCCTCTCGTCCCATCGCACTTTTCCTGATTTAAAGTTTGTCCGACAACAATAGGCCTGAAAATGAAAAGGGGCTTGTTGTTTGCCTTTCAGCTGGCCCTTGTTGTCGTGATGAGAGATTGGAAAGTGCCGTGTCCTTCAGAGCACCTCATCCACTCCCACGCAGACTTAAACACAATACCGACCCAGAGCATTGGAGGAAATGAGCTATTGATTTCCCAATTACAAAGGCAGCCGGATTTATACACACTAACGTCTTGGCCGATGCACTGAATGACAGACGCACCAGGGGATGGTCTTGTTACAACCCGTTATGTCAGTGTTCGACCCACACTCATCAAAGGAGAACGGCGGCCTTAAAATCCACTTAGAAACATATACCGTTCAATTACCGTCCTTGTAATGTGTGTGATTTGTTTAGCTACACTCCTTCTATCATAGAGGATATATATATATATATATATATATATATATATATATATATATATATATTTATATATCTAAAACTGTACCATTGGTCGATCTAACTTCAAGCGACAATAAAATAAATTTATGAACTAAAAATGTTTTCACCAAAACATTTTTTAATACTATGTAGCCTATATATACTGTATATACATAGTATAATCTCAGAAGGGCAGCTAAAACTATTTCAAGAAAAATGGATGCCTTTCAAAAAAAAATTATTGAACTTTGGGGACATAATTGTTACATTTAGGACATGTCATGTTGGAGGCTTTCTGAATGGAAGAATGAACAGGACAGAGAAGACTATTTAATGGTTAAAGCTGCACTAACTGACTTTATTTTCGTATTAATTACGAAAGTGCTATCCATGTCCATGTAGTGCATTGGGATATACGTCCTTTTGAAGAAAAAGTAGCGCAGATTTGTGCTGGCGTGACATTATATTTTAGATCGAGTTTTGATGAAACAAGGAAGAGAATGTGTTTCGGGTCGCAGATTGTGACCAATCACAACGGACCAATGGCCCCCACTTTCGTGAGAAATCTACAGGTCTCCGTTAGCATAGACGGCTGAGTTAGCACAACAAGCCGAGGAGCTAACCTGAAGCTTCGTGTCTTCATCACCGGTTACTGCTTACACAGCGAAATAGGCATCCAAAAGAAAGTCCCGTTCCTCCGCGCTTCCCGGTTCTATCGTTCTATGGTCACGGCATCCACGTGTAAATCCATATTCATGTATTATCCATATTGGGAGACGCTAGCTTCGTCAACAACAGTGGGTGTGTGTGGGGGGAGATAGCTTCGTGGGTGCGGGGAGGGGAGCAGAAAGAGCGAGGCCAGCGAGTCCACGGCTTCAAAATCCCAAAGTCAGTTAGTGCAGCTTTAATGGTTGGAGATATCAATATGTAATTATAGATTTTACATAATGCAAAAAAAATATGATTCAATAACTGCGGACAAACTAGGCGTTTAGGACGTAACAATCGTGTCCACTTTTGTTACCTCCAAAACTGCTGTCTTAGAGCACTGTTAATAATACAGGCGTGAACAAATCTGTGTGTAAGTAGAGCGCCCTCCCCTGGACAAACAAGCTGGGGACAAAACAAGAGTCTGTCAAGAGTGGGATTGGCCGCAGATAATACAGGACCTTTTTGTGTCCAAAATGTAACACATTGATACTGTTTAGTGTGGAGTGAGCCATATATACTGTATATATATATATATATATATATATATACAGATAAAATGTCACCCTTCGCCCTCCGCGGGTGGTTATCCCTCTCTAAGCTCGGGTCCTCTACCAGAGGCCTGGGAGATTGAGGGTTCTGCGCAGTATCTTTGCTGTTCCTAGCACTGCACATTTCTAGACTGAGATGTCCGAGGTTGTTCCAGGGATCCGCTGTAACCACTCTTCTAGCTTCGGGGTCACTGCCCCGAGTGCAGCTGGATAGCTCAGTTGGTAGGGCGCAGGGCTGGGACCTGGGAGGCTAGGGTTAGAATCCCACTGGGAGCACATTAACACCAACATCCAGTGTGAGTCCTTGGGCAAGACCCTTAATGCTACTGTCTAACTCATAACCATGAAGGTACAAATAAGCAATGAGATGCCGGCTCAGACGTCGCCCGGCCAAACAAGGTCTGCGTCAGGTGTTGGGGAACCAGAGCACCTTGATGAAAAGTGGGCTACTGGAACAAAAGTGGGCTCTCAAGTCCTCCTTTGCACAACCGACACCTTGGGTCTTGTCTGGTGTGGTATATCTGGGCCTCTATCGCTCTGGTGCTCAGGGCCTGCTCCTGTGCAGCCATGATGAGTGCCTCTGTGCTGTCCTGTAGACCAGCCCTTTCCAGCCATTGGTAGGACTTCTTGAGATCAGTAGGGACTTCCATGATGGGCTCTCCTCATCTCGCCACTGTTTGAGACATTCACAGAGTTTGTCATTCGTTTTGGCCTTTTCCAGTATGTAATTATGGCGCTCGGATGTTTTGTCCTGAACAGTGGCTCTCACTCTATATGCATGGTGACAAGCTTTATATATGTCTATATATACTGTATACAGCATTGTAGATATGTATATATATATGACCCCACCAATTATACAAAAATGTTTCCCTGATTTTTAACACTTTCTTTTTTGTATATTCCCTCACTATTGACACGTTCACAGATGTCTTTCCAAACCCTTCTATCTTTGTGGCTTTGGGATTCCTGATGGTATTGGCCCTGAAGGAACAGATGGAGTGTCTGTATTTCACATTATCACAGAAGGAGCTTTTCAAATAGAGATTATTTTTTATTGTACATCCAAACAGGATTGCATTCCTCTGATATCTCCTCAGCAAATGTGAACATCAGGTGTAAAAAAAAACCTCAAACACGACTGCAAGTTGTGGCGATTAAACGTAAAATGGAACGACAATACAACACACATTAGAAACACATGCGTTCACTGATCGTTTTAACATTTCTCCTTTGTTGAATTGACGTAAAGTCAAATTACGTTTTAAAGCTAAGTTGGCAAATAAATGGAACTAAGACGTTCCATCTGAATCAATCACATATCACTCATTCTCACATGCATGTATGTTTAGGCCTCAGTCACTTTTTAGTTCTTTTTCAAGCACTCAGCCAATCAGCTCTTAGTCCAAATCGTCAAATAGTAACTCCCTGGGCATACAAGAATACAAAAGATGAAATGTTTCCAAAAATGATAAAAACAGCATGTTGTGGTTTTACTTATACAAGACTCTTTGTATTGGGACAAAAAAAAATGATTGTATAGTGGTCCCTCACTATATAGTGTAAGCACGGCTTTTGACAGCTGCAGCAGGACCTACAATGAACAGGTTTGATATCTCTGTGATCGCACTTCAGCAGTCGTGAGTTCAGGTGGGGGACAGGAGGGTCCTGGACAAACTAACATCTATACTGGACCAT